TTTTCGAAAATTCGGAAGTCAAGCACATTCGAGCATATCAGGATTTCCATACACAAGACCTGCCCAGATCAACGCCGAAAATCCTCCTCAAAGGAGTGCCATCGAGATTCAGGATGTGGTTGTGGTAAAATCGGATTGTTGAGTGGAAATTTGACAAATTGCTCAGCAGTAATAAGATTCCTATTCCTGGAGCTAAAAACACCGTAGTGTGCTTCTATCACTTTGATACATTCGGGCACTAGAACTCAAAATTTGAAGCACGGGTCCGACTAAGTTGACTGATCACTGTCTTCAACTTTCCTGACAGAAAGGGAATGGAACTTTCGCAACTGTAGTTGTGTTGTGTAAGATTAAGGGGCCTGGTCTAAGAGGGGGTATGAGAGTCGGAACCCTTTCCATGATGATGTGAGGAACATTCTTATTCAAGGGAGTGGGACTGATGTCGGATATCCGCGAATAATATAAATGTACAAGAGTTCTATCTCTATACAGTAATGGTATGTACAAGCACAAGGATGAGTCATGAAGCCAAGACGATAGGAGCAACTCCGAAACATCGAGGATAACAAATTGGCAACAAGGATTGCTCTGGACCCTAGCGAGCCGTTGGCTTCATTGTGAGATCAACAGACATTCCACAGGTCTGCACCCACGCACTTTTTTTCGCTATTCTAGCTCCGGAGTCCAAGTCTGAAACAAATCGAGAACTCGAATTTCCGAAGTAGGATTCGCACAAAATTGTGCGTGGGCGCAAACCAGTGTTATGTTTCCAAACCTCACAATCAAGCCCAACGGCCTATCGACAACAATAATCGCAATGTCGACTGTAAACTGACGACGACGTCGACCACGGCACAGTTCAAGGAAGAACTCGGGAGCTGTGATATTCTGAAAACATCACAAAAATGCGTGGAGAGAGCAGAGATGAACGAGAAGGCAGCGGCCGACAAACGGTCGAGACGGTAGGCCTCGACGGTCGTCATTCGCGAGCATGAGCGCCTCACGATTGCCGTCCACCGCTGCTGCTACCAGCTCCACTCCAGCTCCAAACGGATTACATTTCCCAGTCAGGTGAGAATTCCCGCTTGTCCTGGGATCGCCTACCGAAAATCCCGTCCGCGCGATGAACGCTCCTTGACTCGCTTTTGTGGAAAAAATATACAAGAGCTTTCAAAATATATCGCGATGTTGAACAATACGGACGGTGCAGCGGATAAATATTTTGCCTGGGATGGTCAACATAGCGCTAATACCACCACATGCACACTCATCTCTAACCTTCAGCTACAGTACAAGCTTGTCTAACAGTAATCGTCACAGTCCCCGAGACATATTTTGTCCATTGAGTCCATCAACCAATTAGATATTGACTGACTACTGATACTGAAAAAGCTGGTATTTCCTAGAACTATGAATTTCTCAGTAACTGGAAAAATTCCAGCCGATCAGTGAAAACGCGTCATTTCCTAGTAGCTTAGGATGTAAAAATTACCTGACGGAGGCGACAATTCAACAGCTTCAGTAATTCACAATACTTTTGCGGGCTTTCCCTCATACCACGCAAAGTTCTGTGATGCCAATGCTGGGAAAAAGTTTTGTTTGAGTCGTAAGAATTTCGTATATCCACTGAACTTCCGCTTTTTCTTTGCTCCCATTTGTAGTTTCATGCCACAGCTTTCTGCACTCATCGAAAATTGATAGAGGGGAAAAATAGTCAAAATTCAGCGTTTCCTGGTCACCTCCCAGAATAGGCTGTGCACCCTTCTGCACATTAAAAATAAAGCCTCTTTTTTTCAGTGGTATAGTACCTCCCATTAAGTGCTAGCAGTGTATTACGGTTCTCACGATGCGCCTCTGAGCTTCCATACTCCAAAAAACTCTCTTGATGGAGAGCTTTGATCACATGAAAAGGTCATACACAAAAGCGCCTTGAGAATGCCGGGAAACTTCGATTGAGAACACGATATGATTCGGTCAGCAGTGCCACTATTACCTCATACATCTGTTTCAATTGTAAACTTCTCTCAGGAGAATATGCTTCAGGTGGTACACACTTTAGAACTGTGTAGACTTCGCCTGCATTATTTGAAAACCTATCTCCCGGAACCACTACTGTGAAGTATCTGTTCCCAAATGCTGAATAAGTACTCATATGTATTTAGAGAGCTTTTCATTGTTATAGAAGTGGATATAAGCCAGGAAGAGCTTCTTATAATTTCCTGTTAAAAGGATTCACCTATGAAAAGAAAAGCATTGAGAAAGCATGGCGTAAGGTATCCTTACCATTCGGAATTCCCAGCCAAGCGTTTGGGCCGGTAAGCTTCTAATCTCACAACCCATTCGTCTATGTATCTTTCGTTGTGGCCATTTTTGATTTGCGAGTGTCCTGATTTTCATGATTCCCGTGAGGAACTTTCAAAACATCTTATGTGTGTAGAATAATATCGTGTTTCTACGTCACAATTATAATTTTCATTTTCTCATGTTGGCAGAGGTACTGTCAACAAATGGAGCTGCCTTCATCTCACTCGCTCTCATTCACTTTTTCGTTGTTAAGCCAACGGCCCTTTTTTGATTTCCTGGTTATGATTTTTTCAAGCGATTCTCTTTTGGAGTAAGTGTAGTACAGGTTTCATACCATACTTTGTGACTCGACTAAACCCTTCTTTTCGAATATGCTAATCATAATCTGCACTCAGCCTGGGCGACATTACAGAATGATATTTGTCTTTTTTTCTCTGAACTACTTCGCTCTTATTTCGAGTACTTTCAGAGAAGAGGGTACCGAAAACGAGAAACCCCCATACAGCTATGTAGCTCTGATCGCTATGGCCATCGAGGCATCACCAGAAAAACGGCTTACACTCAGTCAAATTTACAAGGTATTTCATTTTTCCAACAATCATCAGATCTGTTTTAATTACTACTATACGGCTATGTTCGTATTCAGCTATTTTACTTAATTGTAAACAAAACTGAATGAATTCTTTACTGAGATCGTCCAAAACTGATCGAATGGCGATCAATGTTGGGCAACTTCAGTAGTGAATACATTTGTAGATCATCGACGGCATAGGCCTCATGCCCTGGAGATTACAGTAAGACAATTAATGTAGAATTGAAATGAAACTGACTATAGTGATCTTGAGAAGCGTGATCAGCGAGTTTAACTGCTTTTCTCGAGCTTAGCTTATTTTATCAAAAATTTTTCCCCCAAGCAGGTTTATCGAAAAAGGTTCACGCATGTGGTGAAGAATTCTAGTCGCTTCGCAGAAAAGGTCCCATTCGATTTAAAGTCGCAAACCGTGGAATATGAGTATGCCTCCCGTTTAAAGGAAATCGGTAGCGGAAGAACGGGTCGTAGGGAAGGAGGAACTTGTGTGCAGCTGCACAAGTAGAAACACTAATTTCCACTTCATATCCTCGAGCCTGTTCGCAAAATATGTAACTTTGAAAACACAGGGAAGTCTACTTTGGGATCAGTTATAGAACTCTCACTTTTGCTTTGGTTTTTTTTTTCAGAAGTAGGCCACTAACAAAACAAAAAACAGCTTCCTGATACAGCACATTACTCCAGAAAGACCCTATGTCCAATATCCAAGCAGAAAATCTATGCACAGGATAATTTTAGAAATCGAGAGAAAACTTCACAACAACTTCTCTACAAGTCTAACTCAAAAAAAAAGTCCCTGGTTCCTCAACAGTCTTTTCAGGCTAAGCTGTTCAGCATAACTTCTTCGCAGTTTTCTTTGCTACTCGATCTTTTGAGAATTCAGTTTATTAAAATAAAACTATTCTGAATAGCAGCTAAGACGAGTCTATCATTTCTCTGCGTTTCCAACTAAAAGCTTCTATTTTTGTTCGATGCAATCAAAACGACCGTACACCGCTTGGCATTCCCGTTGCCGTCAACGCCATCCCGCTATCGTAACCCTCATCAAAACATCGCCCGCGCATCGTCAACGATCACTCACTCAATCGGCGCTCGCTCATCTTCGATTCTGACTCTGTCAAACGTTTTTTTCAACTCCTAATAACATATTTCATCTAATATGGATCACTTTCTCGAGCTGGATGTACGGTCCGCACCATATTCCCAACTTGAGAAGTTCGTAGGAAAGGATATGAGATGATCTTGCTTGCTTAATTTTCCCGGAATTTCGCAAGTTAGACCGGTATGGGGACGAAATTCCAGCTTACTGCACCGATGAACTGGATTGGAGAGGCTTTTTTATTCCAGGAATTTTTTTAAATAAATTCCATCCTTCAAATGACCGCAGCTTTCCAAAAAACCCCTCCTACTATACCACCTTTTCAGTTTTATAATCGCTCGCATTAACTCGTTGCTTTCGCAGCTTCAATGTGATGATTACTACATTAGTAGAGCAATGAAAATGAAGTTTTTGACTTTAATCTATCCCCTTTTTGTAATGCGCTCCGCAGCCGCCTTCCATTCTAAACTAGTATAGTATATTGAACGCGTATTTGACCCATTCGATGACTTGGGGTGCCCAACTATGTAGAAGACGATGCTTTCAAACTTCCAGACTAGTCCGATACCACTTGAGCTACACCAGAAAGAAGAAAGGGCGGGTATTCATCCTGGATTCGACCCCAGAACCATGACTATGGGTAGTGCGCCACTTGCCATTACTCCACATCCGCCCTTTCATAAGGGTCTATGTGGAATTTTTTGTTTCAATTTTCCTGGACATAAATGACTATGTACAGGGGCATAAGTAAATTTTACAAAAACAAGAAATAAGGGCTTGGTCGCTTATACTTCGTTATTTTACGAAGGGCGTATTCGACATAGATCGAACCTTTACTGGTAGGGGCCATGCGCTCGACCCTCATTCAGAAATGTAGCAGACTTGAAAGAGTAGTCTCCACATAGAGAGATCCAAAGGAGGCCTGCACAGAGGCATACGAGGGCCCATGATGTAAAAGTAATCTTCTGAGGGAATTAAATATTGATTAACAAATGTGAAAGCGGTGGGTTGTTCATTTGACCTGAACTAGGTTTTGATCCTAGAATTGATCTCTGAACCACTTAGAAATGGCGCCATTTGATACTGTGTTCCTGCGACGTCTTGCCCATTTATCGACCACATCTAGAGCCGCATTACTTGTAAACTAGCTAAACTGTACTTCTTATCAATGAGCAAGCCTCTCGGTCAGTGCTTCGATTTCTCGTTCTATACGCTTACTAGTCGTTTCTATTACAGTTCATCGATGCCAAATTCCCATACTATCGATCAGCTGATCCAAAACGTCGTCAAGGTTGGCAAAACAGTATTCGTCATAATCTGTCACTGAACGATTGCTTCTTAAAAAGGGTGAGTTCCCAATAACGATTGTGAGCATCTCTTTCGATACATTCTTACAGAAAGTTCTCTTTTCTGCGAAAAAGAGATGATAGCAGTTAAAAAATTTAATAACGTACAGAAGAGAATGTTTAAAGAGAATGTTTGTGTTGTTTAAACAGGCTCGCGATGGAATGAGCCATGCAAACGACCGTAAAGGCAATTATTGGACGTTGGCAGCCGACTGTACACCAATGTTTGACAACGGAAATTATAAGCGAAGGTATGTCAAAAATTCGTAGAACATATGAAATGGATTTACTTTATCACCTAGGCAGTTTCCTTACCACTGGGGAAAAAGTAAGAAGTCACTAAGAGCGTAACGGAAGCGCATACATTTCGTCTTCAAGAGAGACGAAGCTGTCTCCGAAAAGTCATGAAGAAGGCGGAACAGTATGAAGTCAGTCAGTCGGTTGAGGAATAATAAAACAGTTTCTGTCAAGTCTGTCTGCCTAGGTGTAGGTCGGTCCAACTGCATGAGGGTCTCCCTACCTAATTGTGTGGTCGTCTGCAATATCGAAATGAAAAAGAAAACTGATGAGCCGTAACTATGGTATTTAGTTGCTCGGTGTTTCCTTGTACAAACACTGAGCTGGAATTGTACTATTCTGAGCTAGAAGGAAGCAAAGCGTCCATTGAATCTTAATTCCAGGTGGACTAAATGAAAGATAGAATGCCAGTGGCGATGTAAATGTCGAAGCGAAACTCTAATTGGCAAGTAGAGAAAGGATTAAGTCTTGAATGCGATTAAAGTTCCTAGATTGATATCGATCGAGATTTATGACTAATGGTCATTTAAAACCTGATAAGAAAATGGGTACCACTTTGAGAAACCCTGAAGTCGAAGGGGAAGTAGTCAGAATCATGTAATGCTAATTAATATTACATTTAGATTACCGATTTTACAAAGACTCCAGAGTAGTTGGGCATACGTAGGTTAGGAGAAGTTCGAGAGCGGTCAAAGAAAGTATAGATTGCAGGTCTATAGGGACCCGACAAGTCCAATCGAGGGAGTTCAGCTAGGGTATCCAGGCAGGGGTCTTTGAGCTGATATGAGGTGGGCTTCAAAAATGACACTACAAATCAGCGAATGACTTCTTCTATAGCATCGAAGTTCAGACGTTTCCAAAATCGATACCGAAGTTGTTGTTTTTCCTGATCTTCTCTACTTTTTTAAAACTCTTACTCAGAATTGATGAGTAATCATATTTCAGACGCATCAAACGCACTCCACCTTATGCTACGAGATTCTCTTCAGTTGTCGAAAACAACCAACTATCCTACTTGCGACAGTGGCAACTTTCACGTATGCATGGTGCAGCAGCATTAGATCCTATGCACATGATGCTTATGGGCGGTGTAAGTTGACTGTTCAATAGAAGTACAGTAGTAGTCCATAATCATGTATAGAGGGTTGTACCCTGGCCGGACTGCTACAATTCTCGCAGTCCTTTCTCCGTAGAGACCCGTTCCTGCCTTCGAAAACTGGAGCTGCCATTGAGTATGACTTACGCAGTACAAATAGGTCTACGAGATTGACTCCAAGCTTTCCATAGGAATATCTCTTTGGAAGTGATCAATGGGAATCAATGATCAGCGCATTATTTTTGGTTTCCCTCCACTGTCGCTGCGTCTGACAAATATAAACGGAAAGAACAAGACCTAGGGGGGATCCCTCTACCTGTAAACAGATTACGAATGTTACATCTGATGGGGGAATTTTATCGTGATGTGAGCTCCCTCTGCATTTTTCTGGTGTTTGAGCAGTGGTTGGGCGATTTTCCCAACTTTTCACCATTTTTTATCTATTGACTTTTTTTCATTTGTATAATTATCGCTGTGAACCATGTGTTACTGGTGATTCTTCCAGTACATATTGCTACTTATACTTATATCTTTTCGAAGTTCTGTAGGCTATGGATAAGCAAAAGAAAAATGCACATAATCAAGTTGAAGAACACAAATATTCACACCCTACCGATCCTCATGACCTATCAAAATATCCTTTTCTGAGGGTATCACCTTCGAAACCCGTCTACGGCCTCCTGTCCTCCCTGATACGTCTGAAATGGTTTCCCTTCACTCTACAGATTAGTGTAATGACTACGAACTTTTAGAGTTTACCCTATCAAATGCCGTCTGACCTATCTGCTGTTGGTATGACATCGTTCGATCAGACTGGTCCCGCCCTTGCCGCTCAACCTTTACCATCCTACAACAGCGCATTTTTTCCTGCTGGGACTAGTGGAATATTAGCACCGGTAAAACATATATGATATGGGCTACAATAAACTTGCAGTCTTTTTTTTGCAATTCAGGAAGCAAAACAATCGATCGACATCAAGCCTCAAATCAACAACAGCGAGCAAGAAATTCAACCGGTAGAACAACATTATATGGGTGCTTCCAATAAAAATTTGGACACGGTAGGTACTCTACGCACTTCTATGAAGACGGGAAAGAATTTGGTAACGGCTTTAGAAAAAACTAGTACCGTATTATAAAATAACGTCATCAAAAAGGAAAATTTGCCTCGTGCCACTTCCAAGCCTGAGATACCAAAAAGGGGGCCTTCATGGTGTAAGGGAAAATTTTGAAGCCACCACAAACCCAAAAACTTCCGTTACAGTTTTTTACAGTCTAAATAAAAAGAACTATTGTAGAATCATACTTTTCCCTTTATTCTCGATACTTATCTCTACCATTTGTATAATTCATCCGCTTTTCGTCAAG